CTGTTAACCTAAAGGTTGGTGATTCAAACCCACCAGCCACTCCACAGAAGCAGGACTGGGCAATCTACTTCCATAAAGATTTACTGCCTCAGAAACCCAGTGGGGGTCGCTATGATTCAGAATTGACTTGATGGCTGTAGGTTTGGTTTTTTTTTTTGTTTGTTTGTTTAGCATGTAAGTGATTCCAGTGACCTCACTGCCGTGGAGTCAGATCTGACTCTTAGCAACCCCTCCTTGGGTTTCTGAGGTGGTATCACTATGGAAGTAGATTGCCCAATCTTCCTTTTGAGGCGTGGCTGATTGGTTTGAACCACCAGCCTTCTGGTTAGCAGTCACATGCCTTAGGCACTTGTTTAGCAGTCACATGCCTTAGGCACTATGCCACCAGAGCTCCCAATTCCAGTGAAGTCTTTTTTATTTTTTTTTTCCCCCTTTGCTCTGCAGGTTCAGCCCTTCTTCATATTCCTCCCTCAGAGAACTCTGAACATGCATTCTTGGACAGACTTATAAATAGCACACTTACCACTTCCCTCTTTGCACACCCGTATTGACTCTTTGGTAGTGCTTTTATCTTCTGATAGGCAGAGTTCTTTGCTACTGATTATAGTTGTACCCCCTTTTGTCTAAAGTCACTATCAGAGGGAAATTCAGACTGTTCATATACAATGAGCAATAAATCAAACATAAGGCAGCTGAACCATTGCTTTGCAATTTTTTTACGTTTTCAGGTGAAGTCATCACTTAACCTGTGTTTTTTGTTTTTTGGCAAGAAGTTATGCATTTATCAAATGAGTGATTAATTCTAATCATAGAAATGAAAAAATAACCAGCAACCACTTTCTCCCAAACATCAGGCCAGTAGCCTTGGCATCATCCGTAACTCCTCTTTCTTTTAACATCCACATTCCTATCTATCAGCAAACCCTTGGGGTGTTTCTCCAGAATATAGTCAAAGCCAGTTATTTTCTCTCCAAACCTCACCAGTGCTTGCCGCCTACCCCAAACCACCATGATCAATGACACACAAAAAAAAAACAAAACAAAACTCACTGCTGTCGACTCAACTTATAGCAACCCCTCCTTGGGTTTCCAAGGCAGTATCACTACAGAAGTAAATTGCCCAGTCTTCCTCCTAAGGAGTGGCTGGTGGGTTTGCTCTGCCAGCCTTCTGGTTAGCAGTCAAATGCCTTAGGCACTACGCCACCGGAGCACCTTGGACTATTGCAATAGTCTTATTAACTGGCCTATTATTATTCCCATAGCCTATTGCTCACCCAGCAGCCAGAATGATTGTTTGAAACAGAAGCAAGACCTGCTCTAAACCCTCCTGTGACTCCTCAAGTCACCTGTAATAAAATCCCAGGTCCTAACACAACCCTCAATGCCCTACACATCTTGCCCCTGTCACCTCTCTGGCCAGGTCTCCAACCACTTACCCTGTGACTCATTCTCCTTCAGCCTTTGTGCTTCTCTGAAAGCCTGACAAGGCATTTCTGAGCTCTTGGCGCTTGCTGTGTCCTCTGCCTGGGATGCGCTTCTCCAGAATCTGCCTCAGAGGTTTCCCTCATAGAGAGCCCTGCACTAATCACCCTGCCTGGACTAGCACTCCTACCCCACCCTCATCCTCATGCCTTGCTTTATTTTTCTTGACAGGTAACTTGGGTACTTATTTATTGTCTGTCTCACCCACTTCCACACTGAAATGTAAACTCCATGAGGGTAAGGATTTTTGCTTTGTTTGTCATTGTATCCTCGGTGACTGGAACAATATCTGACACATCATAGGTAATCAATAAGTGTTTGATAAATGGCATGAGATTAACGACCACTAGGTCCTCTCCCTCGATGATTTTTATTCTGGAGTTTACCCTTCCTTCAAGCTCCCCTAGGCTGTTGTAGGTGATCAGAAACTAGAAAAGACTATATTGTAATGTCTCTGGACAGCTTCAGGTTAGAAGTTGCAATTAAGGGGTATTTTTCTAAGTGAAAAAGATCTATATTACAAAATACACAGATACTGAAATACATTCTTTCCCTATTCACCCTTTCCCACCTACCTCGTAAAGTACATTCAAAGAATAAAATGATTCCATGAACGGGAAGAAACGCCTCAGATATACAAATAAATTACAAGAATTTTTAACTATCCAGTGAATTGGGACTAATGCAAAGAAAGATACAATGCTGGGCATTTACATGGAAAATCTTATTTTAATTTGCAAAGTCATTGGCATTAATACTATCTTACAGATGAGGTAGGGGACACTGATGGTTCAGTGGTAGAATTCTCACCTCCTTTGTGGGAGACCTACGCTCTATTCCCAGCCAGTGCACCTCATTCATAGCCACCTCTGGTCTGTCATGAGAGACATGTGTTCCTGTGATGCTGAATAGATTTCAGTGGTGTCTCCAGACTAAGACAGACTAGGAAGAAAGGCCTGGCAATCTATTTCTGAAAACCAGCCAATGAAAGCCTTGTGCATCACAATAATTTGAGCCTCAGTCAATCATGGGGATGTGTAGGACTGAGCAGTGTTTCATTCTGTTCATTTGGGGCATGAGGTTGGCATGAGTAAGGCATCAACTCCATGACAGCAAGAAGGTACCTGAGGCTTAGAGGGATAAAGAAACTTGCTCAAGGTCATGCAGCCAATAGATGAGGTACCATAGCTACATCCCAGATTTGTGGGACTCCGAAAGCTCTCTCTCACTCACTGACCTAGTGCGGCACACGGCAGATGCTCCATGAATGTTGCATGAGCACATACCTGTCAAGAAATATCTGAGAGAAATAAAACATAAATTTACATTTCCTGGGAAAGCTTTATAAACATCTTAAAAGCAATATAGACCATAAAAATCATTCCCAAAGACCTTTGTAAAGCATAGCGAAATAAGCATAATGGTTGCAATTTGAATACCGAGATTCGTTCATTCAGAATCCATCTATTCAGGCCTCTGAAGGCACTCTGCTGAGCATTGGCTCATTAATCTAACCCAGTCATTTTAAAAGGTCAAAGTTGTGTTTTTATGGGATGTATGCACACTTTATGATAGTGTTTCTTACATAATTCATATGGACAGTACATTTGTCTCTGTTTCATGGGATTTAAGAATTTTGCAGAAGAGAGTTATAGTTTTTATACAGTGTATTTTGCTTTGATGGTTCACTTTTGACCATACCTATAAAGATGCCAAATTTTTTATTCCATTATTACATTGTTTCTGCGGGAATATAGTCTGTAATAATCCATTTAAAAATATGTCTGCAGTAAGGGGAAAGGGAGCATCCCACTCCACTGCGAGGCAGGAGTTGGTGAGGTGGCAAGAAGGGAGACCTTGCTTTTCTTTTTTTTTTTTTTTTTTTCTTTCCCTGATTTAGTTTTATATGATCCCAAGATCTGTAAGTTAACTCCATTATTGTCATTGAGTTAACTTCAAGAAGAGGTTGAGGGGCATGTGGCTTTTTCCATATAAAATATCCTCAAGTTTGAATTTAAAAGAGGAAAAACAAGCCTCTGGTTTCACTAGTACTGAGTTACAGTAACAGCACATATGCTGCTCACGTGCCTTGAGTGTTATCGAAACAATGAAGTATGATTAAGGAGCCATTGTCTCTAAAGCTTCTTCTTGTTGTCATGTGCCCTTGAGTTGGAGCGACTCATAGAGACCCCTCCTTGGGTTTCTGAGGCAGTATCACTTTGGAAGTAGATTGCCCCATCTTCCTTCTGAGGAGTGACTGACTGGTGGGTTTGAACCGCCAGCCTTCTGGTTAGCAGTTAAGTGCCTCAGGTACTACTCTACCAGAGCTCCTCTTAAGCTTCTTAATTAGTGAGTAAAACAAAAGTAACTATGACCCTCTTGCCTAAAGGCAGAGAAATGGGCTGCAGTTCTCTGTTATGGGGAATTCTCTTTTCTATAACACAATTGCTTATTTACGTATTTTTATCCTTCTTGATGTGAGTTAAAAAAAATAATAATAATTCTTAACTGTGAGGTAATATTTCTTCAATAATTATTTATGTCACTTTTTATGTAGGAATATTACTCTTAAAATTTTATTGTGGATTGGTTTTCTTGTAAGTAATATGAAAAGATGCACTTTTCAAAAGAGCTAAATCTAAACCACAGAAATAGTGTTTTTGTGTTGCTTAGGAGAAGCACTTTAAAATATGTTCTGTTTGACATTTTAATTAAAGCATTTGCAGGTACTTTTAGAGCAAGCTAATGAAGATTTTGACATTGGTAGAAGACATCAGATTCTATGGTTTATGAATGGGCAGTCCTTGCATGCCTCTGTTTTTATTTTCACATATTTCAAAACGCTTCTCTGTCTTCCTCACTCACCACTCCCGCAGAGGATTCCATTCACAGCTTTTTTTTCACACCAGACTGACTAGAACAAGTTGAGAGCTAAGTGTATCAGGAGCGCCCTCGTGAGGACATACTTGTTTAAGGAAACTAAAAAGTTTTACGTTTAAGCCAACCAAACCAGTTGCTACCCCCTCAATTCTGACTCATGATGACTCTAAGTGTATCAGCGTAGAACTGTGCTCCATGAGGTTTGCATTGGCTGATTTCTGGGGACCAGATCACCTTTCTTCCAAGGCATTCTGGGTGGACTTGAACCTCCAACCTTTTGGTTAGCAGCTGAGTGTGTGAACACCTTGTACCACTTAAACCAAAAAACCAGACCCACTGCCATCAAGTCAAATTCAACTCATAGTGACCCTACAGGACAGTGTACAACTGCCCCGTAGAGTTTCCAAGGGTGTAAATCTTTATGGAAGCAGGCTGCCTCACCTCTCTTCCACGGAGCAGCTGGTAGCTTTGAACTGCTAACCTTTTGGTTTGCAGCCCAATGCTGTTACCATAGTGCCACCACCCAGGGACTCTTTAAATTCACTGCACATTATGTTAAATCTAAATGCAAGGGAGAAGAGATGGATTCCATAAGATTCAAAAGTTCATTTTTGAGATGTGTCCTTTGTTTCTTTTAGGTCAGCCATCATCCACCTATGTCTGCATGTCACGCTGAGTCTAGAAATTTTGTTTTCTGGCAAGGTAATGTGTTTATATATTTGACTTTAATTATTTTTGTAATATGATAGATTTATTCAGAAATTACCATACATGCTTGTTAAGATCAAAAGTGGCCCCTGGACTTGGGCCTTAATAGAAAAATATGTACTACTTGATTCTCTCACCTCTCATTTCTGAACCAAAATTTATATTTTTCTATTTCATAATTAAATCTTCAGTAATACCAGTTAGTTGTTCACTTTTTTAAAAAATGCTCAATTTTTATCTGGGCCACCATCATTTATTCCTGTAACGTTTCCTCTATCTTATTCCACCGCCACTTATGTCCTATGTATCCTCCATGGCCTGTAAACTCTATATCCCACAGGCATAGATCCTGAGACATTGAATAGTAATAGTTGCTTAGTAGCATCTAAACAGCAGAACAGTTTGTTGTTTTTGAAAATTTCTCATTTTATTTTGGAAATTGCATTTTACAATGCTAAGTTTTCTTCTAATGTTGTTATAAAATAATTACAAAATAATAATGTCTTTTTTATTATAGCCATACTAAGTGAGTGTGAAGTGGTATGTCATTGTAGTTTTGATTTTCACTTTTCTGCTAATATTGAGCATTTTTTTAGGTCATTATTGGCCATTTGTATTTAAATTGTATTATCTTTTATTATTGAGATAAAGTCCTTTTTTTAAAAAAATTTTTGGTTGCTTTGCTTTTAGTGTCTTATCTAGAAACCATTGCCTAATCCAAGGTCACAAAGATTTATGTCTATGTTTTTTCCTAACAGCTTTATAGCTTTAGGTGATATATTTAGCTCTTTGGTCCACTTCAAGTTAATTTTTACATATGGCATGAGGTTGCACATGGATATCCAGTTGTTCCAGCACCATTTATTCAAAAGAGGATTTTCTCCCCCATTGGATCATGTTACCACCAATTATCATTTAAGGATTTTCTTTTTTCATTGAAGAAAGAAAAGAAACTCTTATATTCACCCATATATTTACCATTTCTGGTGCTCTTCATTCCTTTGTGTAGGTCAGCATTTTCCTCAGGTATTATTTTCCTTCTCCCTAAGAGACTGCCTTTAACATTTTTTGAAGTATTGTTCTGTTGGTGATACATTCTCTTAGCTTTTATATGTCTGAAAAAGTCTTTATTTTGCCTTCATTTTGAAGTACATTTTTACTGGGTATAAAATTCTAGATTGATTTTTTTTTTTTTTTTCCTTTCATTTCTTTAAATATATTGCTGCATTGTCTTTTGGCATTGTTTCTAATGAGAAGTCAGCTGTCATTCTGATCTTTCTTCTACATATAATGTGTCCCTTTTTTTTCTCTGGCTGCTTTTAAGATTTCCTCTTTGTTTCTGATTTTAAACAATTTGGTTATAATGTGCATTAGAGACTTTTTTCTTTTTTGGCTGGGATTCACTGAGTTTTTAGATCTGTGGGATTATAGTTTTCATCAAATTTGGAAAATAAATTCACAGCCATTATTTCTTCAAATGTTTTTCAGGTCCCCACCCCCTTCTTTGTGGTGTTCCAATTACCATTGGGCTGCTTGAAATTGTTCTACAACTCACTGATACACTATTCATTTTTTTTTCTGTGGATGTTTTATTTTGGATAATTTCTCTTGCTGTATTTTTACATTCACTAGTCTTTTCTTTTGCAGTGTTTAATCTTCTGTTAATCCCATCCAGTGTATTTTTCATCTATGACATTGTATTTTTCATTTATAAAAGGTCAATGTGGGTCTTTTTTTTTTTTATCCTCTGTATCACCTTCCACTTTCCTCTACCTTCGTAAACACTGCTATTCAAAAAGTTTTCAGTTGCCAGCTTTTTCAGAAGTAAATAGTCCCATCCTTCTTCCCAATCTGTTTTCATCTGGAAGCTCTACTGAAACCTGTCCACCATTGGTGAGCCTGCTGGTATTGGAAATACCGGTGGCATTGCCTCCAGCCTCACAGCAACACGCAGGCCACCACATATGATAAACTGACAGGCAAGTGGTGATCTTGAACACATAGACTATATTGATAATCCAAAACCAAACTCACTAGTATTGAGTTGATTCTGACTCATAGTGACCCCCATTGGGTTTCCAAGGCTGTAAATCTTTATGGAAGCAGACTGCCCAATCTGTCTTCTGTGGAGCAGCTTGTGGATTTGAACCACCAACCTTCTGGTTAGCAGCCAAATGCTTTAACCACTTCACCACCAGAATGCCTTATATTTATAATAGATGTTCTAATATCCTTGTCTACTAATTGCATCATGTATGCCACTTCTGGGCCTGTTTCTACTGATTTATTTTTTTCCTTATCATGGGTTGTGTTTCCTGCATCTCTGCATGCCTGATCATTTTTATTGGATGCCAGACATTAGTATGTAGGAGTTGTTACAATGCTTTTAAATATTTCTGAGTTTTTATTTGTGGCACGATTAAGTTACTTGGAAGACATTTGATCCTTTTGAGGCTTGCTTTTATGCTTTAAATTTAGGCAGATCCAGAGTAGCTTTAATCAAGTGCTAATTTTGCCCCACTGCTGAAGCAGAGCAGATTCTACTCGATGCCCCACACACCACCAGCTTTCTTACCCAGCTGTCGGAAGCATGGACCATGAACTATTCCCAGCCCTGTATCAGCTCTGAGGATGATTCAACTTGATCCTTTCCAAAGGACTGTGCCTGACCTTGTGTGGTTTCATTGTAGTTTCATTGATCAGCTTCAGGCATGAGGGGACCCCTCTGAAGATCTTCAGAGCACTTTCTTTGCACAGCTATCTCCTCTCCAGGCCTCAGCTTTATGAATTCTATCTGCTTTGATCTCCTTGACTTTTCAAATGTCTCCTCAACTCAAGAAGTTTGTTGGTCTCTGCCTGGGTTCCACTTCTCTGTGTTTAGAAAACTTAACTCCAGTAAGCTAGGGCATACCTCATTTGTTTCATTGAGGGAATCCTATCTTATACTAACTGTTAGCTAATATCTGAAACATTTTTTTAAATATAGTTTCTCTCCTTTTTTTTAAATTTATTGTTTAAGGTGAAAAGATAGCTCCTTCCTCTGTTACTTCATCATGTCTCAAAATGGAGCTTCAGCTTGCAAATCTTTTTCACTGTTTGTTTCCTCATTTCTGCTTTTCTTTACTATGTTGCCAAACTTTCTTTTATTTAGCTGCCTTTTCTGCTAACCCTGCTGTTCTTTTTCTATTCCGTGTCTTCTTGGATGGTACAACCATTTGCCCAAGTCAGAAAATTCTGACATCTTTAAATTGTCTGTATCTTTCACAGTCTGTATGTAATTTGTCATCCAGTTCTTTCTGTTTCTACTCTGCTATTTAAATATTTAAAAGCATTGTAACAACTCCTACATACTAATGTCTGGCATCCAATAAAAATGATCAGGCATGCAGAGATGCAGGAAACACAACCCAGTCCTTTCTCTCCATCATCATTGCTATTGTCTTGGCTCTGGTCTCATCCCCTGGGCAACTGCAGTAGCCTTTTATCTTCTCTCCTTGTTTCTAATCTCTCCTACCCCTGTTCCATTCTCCATATTTCTAATTGTCTTTGCAGAATCTGTATCTAATCACGTAAGTTCCCTATTCAAACAACACCTTATTTTCCCAGTGCACACAGACCAGACTTCTTAGCCAGACTTGTAAAGCTCATTATTTTATGTTTGCAACCTGACTTCCTGTTCTTGTCTTTAGACACTCCCAGACCTACAGGGCAGAACCACACTATGCTCTGTTCCCTTGAGCAAGCTCTTTCTTCTGCCTTAATTTTTTTCTCTGCCTAGTGGATGCTGGCCTGTTCTCCAAAACCACGTTTAAATGGTCACATCTGACAAGTCTCTTCTGATGCTTCCTCCCAGCATGTTGGTCATTCTTTCCTCCTTGGTTCCATTTTACCTTATAACACATGTAGCTAGAGCCATTGCCTTTGTGTGGGTATTACCTATTTTCACTTCTGTCTGCCTTTCATGCTATGAGCTCCTCTAAGAGTAGGACTTCATCTTATAATTTCAGTTTCCCTGATTCTGTTCCTGGTTCTCAGTTGGTAATTTATAAATATTAATTGCTTTAAAAGTTATCCTATAAAATAATTTATTTTATTATGAAGACTTGGTGTGATATAATGATTGATCATTTATCCAGCCAAAGAAGTCTTTAGGTATCCTTCTAAATATGTAATGTTTGGTATTTTCATTTCAGATGTGAGATGGAAAAACAAATTTTGGGGAAAATCCATGGAAATTGTTCCAGTTGGCACAACACATGTGATTCTGCCAGCGTAAGTTTTTTGTCCATGGTTAGGAACTTAATAGAATTTTGAGGCAAGATTTACCTTTAGAAACGTGATGCCCATCTTTCCCCATGACACTGACTGTATGTGTTTTCTTTTAATCGTTGGATAGTAGGTTCAAATGTTCTTCATCTTGACAGTCTCAAGTTTCCCTCAAATTGAAATGCTTACTAGAGACCAAAGTTTCCTGAATAAACACCTTTTAAACCTGTATTTCTACTTCCCAAAAATATTAAAAATGTTAGTTTTTATTTAACATCGCTGTTCCACTTCACTGTCCAGATTCCTTTTAAGAAAGATATGACTGTAGTATTACAGAGATTATTCATACTTCTCTGTAAAGCAAAATGGCCATAGTGTAGACTCTGTAACCAGACTGCCTGGATTTGAGTGCTAGCTCTGCACTTACAACTTCTAAGTCTTAGGCACAATGCTTTGCCTTTATGATCATTGGTCCCCTTATCTGTAAAATGAGGATAACAAACAACCTACTTAATGGACCTATTGTAAAGATTAAATAAGCAATATATTTAAAGCACCTAAAGGAGCCTTGGTACATAGCACGTGCCATGTAAGTGTTTGGTCTTATTATTACTAGCTTCATAATTATTATTTAACTCCATAAGTAATATCTGAATACTTTCTCATTGTAAAAGGTTTAAGTGTATGTATTTATACATATAGATATATCGATACATATGATTGTGAAAATTCTTCTATGCAGGCTCTCAGTGTCCTCTGTAAAAGATGGAGTGGGTTATTCCTGGAGGTCACCAGGCCTCTCCAGGGTCCACAGATCTGACTGTTGTCCTCTCAGTGCATGCTTCTTTAGGGGAGTAACAGCACATAGGATGCCTCGCACAGAGTAGGCACTCACTCTGTGTTGAGTCCCTGAATGAAAGAATGAGGCCTTCATTACACGGCTCATTTTATAGGATAGCAGTACTCTTGTGGGAATCATTACTTTCCCTTTTTCCTTCTTTGTAGATTTGGAGATCATTTTGAATGGAACAAAGTGACCTCCTGCATCCATAACATCTTAAGCGGACAGAGGTGGATTGAACACTATGGGGAGATAGTCATCAAGAACCTGAGTGATGATTCCTGCCACTGCAAAGTGAATTTTATCAAGGTAACCCAGGAGGCCATGTGAGCTCTGACCCTGGAAGGGCTATAGCAGAACCAGAGCCTTGGAGCATAGGGGAGTTTTTCACCTTTACCTTTGTGACAGCAGACAAGCAGAGCCAGGACTCCCTGGTCCCAGCCCCATCTCTTTCTCCTGGACCACGGCCAAGGTCCCCTGTGGGTCTCCCCACCTCCTTCCTTATTCCCATAAGATCTTTCCTCAATATAGTAGCCAGAGGGATCCTTTAAAGCATTAGTCATGTCATATCATTTCTTTAACCAGAATCCACCAATAGCTTCCATATTACTCAGAGTGAAAGCTACCCTCGCAATGATAACAGGCCCTCTACCGTTTGTAGTCTTCTTCCTATTTTTACCTCAGCCTTGGGATGGGAAAGCCAAACCACCAGATTACGGCCTGAAAATGCCACTCAATTTTATTGGTTTCCAAATATGAATTCTGTTGCAGCTGAAAATAGTACTAAACATTTTTGATTTATGAAGAAATACCTTCTGTTCTTTCATAGAGATTTTTTTTAAGACAGCCAGGTAACTGGCTGGGAGTTTTGAAAATTTCAACTCTAGGGAGTTAGAGCTCCCTCTGCTGGCTCTAGTAAATTACTGTATAAAACCAAAAAGTCTTTTCAGACTGACCAAAACACAATGTGAATACAGGTTACATAAGGTTCCTGTGGCTTGGATGAACACACCTAGTTTTGGGAAAAATAAAAGAAACTGAAAATTCAGCAACCATCTTGATTAATTTTTGCCTAATGCCTTTGGAGAAAAGAGTAAGTGAGTTAAATTTCTTTTAAATTACCATCAGGCCACAATGACAGGGAAGACCCCCTTTGAGGGGTTGTAAAGGCCAACCACGCTATTTGGCAAATATCTAAGAGTAGAACTGAGCTTTTTCTTCCTACATTGTTGAAGTTTAAGTAGGAAAAAAAATGTATCTTGCGTAAATGTTGGTTATTCAAGTACGAACTGCAAAGAGAGTGTTAACTGTTAATTCTTATACATAACTGAAAGTACAATTGAAAACACAAAACCTAGAACTGGCAACGTATCTGTAGCATAGAACTGCTCTTGTGGTACACACTCACTCACTCCCTCTCTTTTCCTTTTCTTCGTATCTGGAATAAGTTGACCTCAAAGCACTAAACCAACAACTCTTATTTGGATTCTAGGCAAAATACTGGAGCACTAACGCCCATGAGATTGAAGGCACAGTATTTGACAAGAGTGGGAAAGCAGTGCATCGACTGTTTGGGAAATGGCATGAAAGCATCTACTGCGGTGGCTCCTCCTCATCCACTTGTGTCTGGAGAGCAAGTTAGTGCTGTGTTCCTCAGCCCAGCCCGAGGCGGGGGGGGGGGGGGGGGGGGGGGGGAAGGGTGCAACAGAGGAGCCAAGGACATCAATGTCCATCACATTCTTCAGTCTCTACCTGCTTGAACTATACTGGAGGCACTGGGCTTTATTGTATTAATCTAATTATATCTCAGACTCATTGTCATGCTTCTCAGTAACACCTCCATCTGGCTGTTAGGGCCTGAAATCTTAATTCTGGAATGAAGCCAATACCAACCCCTGATCATTCTCGGAGGGAATCTTCCAGTCAACACAGGCACTGAACATCACTCCTGGGCCTATAGTGGACACTAAGAAGGAATGTCAGTGAAATACAAGAAACCATTTTAGAGTAGGGACAAAGAGAAAAGTTTTTGGAAAGGCAGAGTGACTTGGGGTTTATACAAGGGGTCTTCCAAGTTTGCCTAATACCATGGGCCACTCTGATCTCTCCTGTGATTCCAGAAGGATGCTGAATCCTTGAGCCATCGAGGAGAAAGGCTAGGAAACCCAAATCCAGCATGTCCCCACAGTGTTTTTAAGACCTTAGTCCATCTTCTAATCTGATAAATAGGTTGTTTCCAAGTCAAAGTTATATTATAATACCATTGTTCTGAGATACATTTGTTAGGATGTTTTAGGCTGATAAAAACAAACAAAAAAAGAAAAAATCATTCTAATAGTGGTTTAAACCATTAGGTTGTGTGCTATTACTTAACAATAAGAGAAGAAATGGGTAGGCCCAGAGTGGTTTAGGCAGTGTATGTGTGTCGAGGACATAGATCATTGAGAACCCATCCTGCCTTTCCCAGTGTGTTGATGCTGTTTCCCCTCATGGTTGTAAAATGTCACAATTCAATACCATATGCCCACATGACAGCAGACCAAATAGAGAAGAGGGATGATAAAAGAGCTTCCTCTCTCCTGCCTCTTTTTTCAGGAATGAAATATTTTCCAGAAACCCCCAGCAAATATGTCTTTATATCTCAACCTGAACTGGATTCAACCCATTCCTGAACCAATTAGTGGCAAAGGGTTGGGATAGAGAAATTCAGATTGGCCTACATTCATCCTTCAGAGAAGGCACAGTGCCACATGAATAGTAGCAGTGTTCCATTAGCAAGTTAGAAAGGGAATGACTGTTGAGAAGGCACCCAGAAATGTTTCTTTCAATGGATACTAACCACATCTTCCATCATGCTCACAGAGGTTGCCATGAAGCTAGAATGAATTAGCAACAGTGGCCTTCTCTCTAGCTTCAGGGTTCAGAGACACATGTGAAATTTTATGAGTGAGATACACTATTATGGATTGAATTGTGTCCCCCTAAAATGTGTTGGAACTCTAACCCCTATACTTTGTGGATAGGCGCTTCTGGTAGCATAGTGCCTAAGGCACTTGACTGCTAACCAGAAGGCTGGAGGTTCAAACCCACCAGCCACTCCTTGGAAGGAAGGTTGGGCCATCTACTTCTGTAGTGATACTGCTTCAGCAGCCCAAGGAAGGGTCGCTATGAGTCGGGTCTGACTCCAAGGCACATAACAATAACACAACATACTTTGTGGATATAATCCAGTTTAGAAATAGGGTTTTTGTTATGTTAATTAGATCATGCCCAAGTAGAGTGTTCTAAATCTAATCACTTCTTAGTTATAAAACGATCAGGTGACACACAGAGATAGATATAAAAGGGAGAAAACAGAGACTATGCCAAGTAACCAAGGAATGCCCAGGACTACAGACAAGGAAGGAATTAACATGGCTGAGACCCTTATTGGGACTTTTAGCTTCTAGAACTGAGAGAAATTTCTGTTTTTTATAGCCACCCACTTGGTGTATCTTGTGTTATGGCAGCACCAGGTAACTAAGACATATGGCCTGTCCTTTGTTTAAACTGTATATCACAGATGAGAACGTCCTTCCTCTCTAGTGTGTTAAAGTAGTGCCTGGATGAAGGAATGCTGTTTAAATGGACGCTATTCTATTCCGTTGACTTTATGTCTTTGCATTGGCTATGAGCATTTCTGGGAGCTCTGGTAGCATAGTGCCTAAGGCATTTGACTGCTAACCAGAAGGCTGGTGGTTCAAACCCACCAGCCACTCCTCGGAAGGAAGATGGGGCAATCTACTTCCATAATGATACTGCCTCGGAAACCCAAGGAGGGATCCCTATGTTGTTGTTGTTGTTGTGTGCCGTCGAGTAGGCCCCAACTCATAGTGACCCCTCCTTGGGTTTCCGAGGCAGTATCACTATGGAAGTAGGGTTGCCCAACCTTCCAACTCGAAGGCACATGGCAACCACAACAACATGAGCCTTTCTGGCCCACCTTCCAAAAAAACCACTTTCTTCATGTACCGGTTTCCTATTGCTGTTACAATAAATTTCCACAAATTTAGTGGCTTAAAACAGCACTAATATATTATCTTACACTTCTCAAGGTCAGAAGTCCTAAACTCAAGATGTTAGCAGGGCTGTATTGTTTCTGGAGGCTTGAGAGGAGAATCTACTCTCTTGCCTTTTCTAACTGGAGGCTGCTGGCATTCCTTGGCTTGTGGCCTCTTCCTCCTTCTTCAAAGCCAGCAGAGTAACATCTTCCACTCTGTCTTTCTGATTCTGACCTTCCTGGCTTCCTCTTATAAAGGCCTTTGTGATTACATTGGACCTCCCTGGATAATCCAGGAAAACCTCTCAGTCTCAAGATCCTTAATGTAATCATGTTTGGCAAAGTCCTTTTGCCTTGCAAGGTAATATATTCACAGGTTCCAGGGATTAGGACATGGACATCTTTGGAAGGCCATTATTTGGTCTACCAATATTCGCTCTCTGTTGGCTGCTGAGGTGGGGGCAGAGGCAGATTTTTAAAGGCACAATAGGAAGCTTTTCCATTATGTTCACACTTAATATATAAGAAACTCAAGACTAGTTACAAGAAGAATTTATGAATATTCAAAAAAAAAGATCTACAGAAAAGTTCAGAGAAAGCATTTGCATTTGTATGTGTGAAATAGCAAGAACTATTGTAGATTTTTCTTTTTTTGTCTACACTCAATTTACCCAATATTATTTTTAGCTAGAACTCAAGATAAGGCAATACTCTTAAAGGTTCTGAATTTTAATATATAAGATTTGGGAAGGAGGACAAGAGTTGTTGAAAAGGATAGGAATGAAAGAAGAGAATGCACATTTATTGACACCCTGCTATGGCTTCAGCACTGTTTTAGGTACTAGATAGAAAGAGTCTTGGGAGACTTTGACATCCCTCAAATGAGAAAATGGGTTCTGTAGAGAATCTTGTTACTCAGGAACAACTTACCAGGACGTTTTGAACATGCTTATTTTAATAAGTTGTTTTTATAGCATAAACGGTGTAAAATGAAAATTCACAGCATTATATAAGTTATATATATATGTCCCAGACAAAAGAGGGCTTATCCTTGCAGATAGAAAAAATTTACAGAAAAGAAAATTTATAAAGAAATATTCAGCACCTTTTGCTTAGCCAGAATATTTTCATAGAATTGGAACTGTTCAGAGCTGAGTGGAGAAGAAAAAATTATAGCTGGCTAGAGACAAAGAAAATGAAGAAATTAAATTGTAACAGAAATGAAATGCAAGTTAGGGATAAATGATTTCTTTTTCTTTTAGATCCTATGCCCAAAGGCTATGAGCAATATTATGGCTTCACACAGTTTGCCCTAGAATTAAATGAAATGGATCCATTGTCAAAGTCTTTATTACCACCTACTGACACTCGATTTAGACCAGACCAGAGGTAAGGATTTCTTTTAAGGTCTTTTTCTCCAAAAATGTAAAACTCTTTACAAAAACTCTTATCAACAGCCCTGGGGCAACAGAGGAGCCTGGCTGAGGTAGATGATGTCATCAGGTGTAGCTACAGAGAAGCTTTAAGCAATGGTGGCAGCGAAGAAATGGAGCCCAGCTTAGGTCTTTGTGTTGCGTGGCCTTTGTTCATGGTAGAGACCCATCTCACTGAAATATCAAAAGAGTGTTTAATTTTACTGCATATAATGAAGAACTTACCTTCTTACTATGTGTTTGAAAGAGTGAGGGGCACAGTACTCTCCCCATCCCCAAATCTGAATCACTTTGCAATACTGAGATCTAACATTGGTTACCACTGTCAACCACTTAGAGGGGCATCGGTGCAGGAGATCCTGGATAGAGTGGGAGAACAATGTGGAACAAAACTCAAAACCATGAAAAAAAAAAAAAGACCAAGTTTGCTGGTCTGATAGAGCCTGGTGAAACAAACCCCTGAGACTATGGCCCCTAGATACCCTTTAGGTCTGGAATTGAACTCACTCACTCCTGTGGCTTCCATCCAAACAATAGACAGGCATGTGGGGTGAATATTTACATGAGGTAGTTACACTCCTTGGAGTAATCAGTCATGGTAGAACGGAAGGGCAGTGTTTGCACAGGGAGACAGCTTGGGGGAAGGGGTGGGAATGCATGGAAGGGAAGGACACAGGGAAGAGGTAACTACAGGGAGGAAGTGGGAAGAGAGCTGTTATACTGTAGGGAATTGCAGTCAATATCATGAAACAAAATGTGTATGAACTGTTGTATAGCAAATGAATCTGCTCTGTAAACTTTCACCCAAGTTACAATAAACATTTTTTAAAAATTGCTATGGCACTCATAAAGGACAGTTCTATAATATACAAATTACAAATTCTCATACCCTTTAACTCAGCAGTACCACTTCTAGAAATTTCTGCTTCAGATATGCTTGTTGTTGTTGTTGTTGTTGTGTACCATTGAGTCGGACCCAACTTATAGAGACCCCTCCTTGGGTTTCCGAGGCAGTATCATTATGGAAGTAGATTGCCCCATCTTCCTTCCGAGGAGTGGCTGGTGGGTTTGAACCGCCAGCCTTCTGGTTAGCAGTCAAGTGCCTTAGCCATTATGCTACCAGGCTCCTACAGATATGCTTACTCATGTGCAAAATGGCAGATACACAAGGCCATTCATTGCAGCATTAATTGCAACATTAAAAAATTGGGAATGTTTGTCAATAGGGAATTATTTAAATTAGATCATTCACACAATAGAAAAGTCAGTTTAAAAAATTAAAGATGTCTATGTACTGATGGGAGCTCTGGTGGCATACTGCCTAAGGCATTTGACTGCTGACCAGAAGGCTGGTGGTTCAAACCCACCAGCCGCTTATCAGAAGGAAGGTTGGGCAATCTACTTTGGTAGTGATACTGCCTCAGAAACCCAAGGAGGGGTCCCTTTGAGTCAGATCTGACTTGACGGCAATTTTTTATTTAATGTACTGATAAGGAAAATTATAAGAAATATTGTTAAATTAAAAATTAAAAAAAATTAAGATATAGGCAGTATGTGTAACATGCTACCATTTATGTTTTAAACAGAAGGAGGTAAGGGTATATGTTAATGTTTGTTTATATATAGATAAAGAATTTCTAGAAGGATGCACAAGAAACTGGTAATAGTGGGTTACCTGATGTGGGAGGAGGGTAAAGATGAGTGGGATGGGGGGAAAAAAAAAGTGGAATTAGACAAAGAAATGAGAGAGAAACTACCCCAAATATATTTTCATAGATAAAATATTTTGAACCATGTGAATATATAACCAATTCAAAAAACGATACCTTTCCTAACTACCTCAAAATACTATTTTAAGGGTTTCTTATGTATGAGAAAGCATTTTGAGGAGCTCTGGTGGCATAGTGGATCAGGCTCAGCAGCAGTTCTGCAGGAGGATGATGGGGCAATTGACTTCTGCAAAGATTTATAGCCTCAGAAACCCAATGGGGGTTGCTGTGAGTTGGAATCAACTTGATGGCAGTGAGTTTGGTTTGGTTTGGAGTCTTTGATACATGCAAGTTTAGTTGCACTTACTGTGTTTTCTTGGAATTGATATGTGGGTTCATTTTCTCCTCAATGCTTCAGGTTTCTAGAAGAAGGTAACTTAGAAGAAGCTGAAATACAGAAGCAGAGGATTGAACAGCTACAGAGAGAAAGGCGGCGAGTGTTAGAAGAAAATAACTTGGAACACCAGCCTCGGTTTTTCAGGTGTGTGCCTGGACCATGTGGGTCGTTGGTTGATAGGTCCTGACCACACTTGGTGCTTCTGGTGTGAAGAGAGTGAACAGGACTGTCCCCTGCCTGGATGAGTGTGTTCTCAGTGTATTTCCTGCTTCAAAGTGGTAAAACTTCTCTCATCTCTTCTGGGAGCTGAATGTCTAAGAGCATTTGCCTTTGGGCTCACCTTCCCAGTGTTCTCCTTGGACTGGAATACTACCTTTTTTGATTCCCTTAGTCTTTCCCAGCTGCCCCACTGGCCTTAACCAGAGAGTGTGCAGAGGAGGTACTCAGTAAGTCGCTTGTGAAGGAAGCTAGGAGAGACTACCTGAACCTAGCCCCCAATTCCAAGCCAGCTTATTTTGTACACAATGACATAGATAATTAATTATCACACTACTGTTACCAAAATGTAAATTCCAAATAGTCTAATTCTTGAATTGCAGAAGTCTCATTATATAAGAACTTAGATTTGGAACATTTACTGTTATTTTAAAAATGACTTGCTAAGATGGTCTTGTTAAAAACAAAAAAAAACAGCCTTAAAGATTTAGAAGGTTCATCAGAGATCATTCTCCCTTTTTATTTTCCTTCATAAGAAAGGCAGGCCCAGGAATATAGGTGAATTTTGGTGAAGGACCCAGTAGAATGTTCCAGAATAGGGCCTGGCTCTCCTGACTATGAGGCAAAGGCTCTATACAGTTTTAGATTTTCATTTGTTTGTTTTTTAAAACTCAAATGGAAACAGGCACTTGTAGAAAAGCAGCAAGCCTCTGCCCCACCCCTTTCATCCCAGTCTTGCTTTTGGGGCAAGCAGTAGTTTTTTTAGGTTTGTTATTGTTTTGGCTTAGTGGGCAGCATCATCAATAGTCTATCATCATTAGTAATAAAATACATATTCCAAACAGCAAAATAGTAACAATTAATGTTTTATTTCAAAAATACTCTTTTCCATAGAGTTGTTGTAGACATTGTAAAATCCCTTCTGATAATTTCTATAAATTCAGGATACAAGCAGGTTGAAACTCAACTGGCCAGAGTCTCATCTCAAAATATTTATATCATCATTTAAACATTTGAAAAATAAGATAGCAAAACCAAACCAAACTCACTGGCACCAAGTTGATTCCACCTCATAGCGATTGCCATTGCATTTCCAAAGAGACTCATTTTCTCTTCTCATTTTTCTTCTGCAGAGCAGCTGGTAGATTCGAACCACAGACCTTTTGGTTAACAACCAAATGCCTTAATCACTATACCACCAGAGCTCCTTTTAAAAATAAATAAATAATATTGTTGTTGTTGTTATGTGCCATCGAGTCAGCCCTGACTCATAGCGACCCCTCCTTGGGTTTCCGAGGCAGTATCACTACGGAAGTAGGATTGCCCAACCTTCCTTCCGAGGAGTGGCTGATGGGTTTGAACCGCCAGCCTTCTGGTTAGCAGTCAAGTGCTTTAACCACTATGCTACCAGAGCTCCTAAATAAATAATATACACACCTTGAATTTTTTTTTTGACAAAGGCAAGAAGATAGATTAACAACAGATTGACCAGTTGATAGATACATACATGTACCCTTAAGCAGGTTGGTTCTTTTTTCTTTTTTTTCTTTCATAAATCAGCTAGTTTTATTTCTAGAAAAGGAAAATCTGCATTTAAAAAAGATGTTTATTACTGTATTTTTTAGGGTCCTTAAAAATTGTGAGTAATCAAGCGGTCTCAAGAACTAAGGAGACACATCAACTCAATCTAATGTGAAAGCGTTAAAATGACCTCACACATTTTTGGAGCACTATGGAAAATAATTAACGTTTACATGCAAACTATAAAATGTATGTAGGCTGTGATCCCAACCATATAAAAAGTATAACTGAGGTGGCAGTGATTCTTCCTTTGGATTATATAATTATCACAGTGTTGAAACACTGGAGAAAAACCAAGAGCTGTTCAGCAGTAGCAGTCCTGCTTGGGACTTGGGGACTTGGATGGATGCATTAACACTTACTGAGAAAGAGTGAAAACATCACTGGAGATTTCAAGTGGAGTCTACAGCTCAGGCAGAATAGAGCCTCTTTGCTATACAGTGGATTCCTCGGATGGTGCAAACAGTTAAGTGCTTGAGTACTACCTGAAAGGTTGGTGGTTCTAATCCACTCAACAGCACCTTGGAAGAAAGAGCTGGCAATATGCTTCTGAAAGGTCACAGCCTTGAAAATACCATGGAGCACAGTTCTTCTCTGCAACATACAGAGTCACCATGAGTTGAAATCTACTTAATGGCAAGTGGTTTGGTTTGACTGTATAGAAGAGTGTTTCGTATGCAGATTGGCTCATTTTAAATACATCCCTTTATTGTAATAGGTGAAAAAGTATGATAAAAGTCTATGCTCCTAAGAGTATGGGAAAACAGGTACTTTCCACTCTTGTTGTTAGAATGTGTTTATAAAAGATCCAGCAGTCCTACTTTTGGGAATTTTTATGTAACTTTACTCACATGCTCACAAACTAACATATGCTTTGTTTACAATAGCTTAAGTTTACAAGGAGCTCTGGTAGCATAGTGCCTAAGGCACTTGACTGCTAACCAGAAGACTGGCTGTTCAAACCCACCAGCCACTCCTCGGAAGGAAGATGGGGCAATCTACTGCTATAGTGATACTGCCTTGGAAACCCAAGGAGGGGTCGCTATGAATTGGGGCCGACTCGACGGCACATAACAACAACAAAGTTTACAAACAACCTAAATGTCTATCGGTAGAGTATTCGTTAACTAAATCATGTGGCCCATCCATGCACTAGAACATCATGCAACAGTTTAAAAAGAAAATGAAGAATCCCTTACTGCTGAGGTCACCATAAAGGGTCACATAGTAAATATTTTTGGCTTTACGGGCCACAAAGTCTAGGTAGCAGTGACTCAACACTACCATTAAGCTTGAAAACATCCACAGGGTTTCCAGTGGCTGATTGTCATTGATGTGTGCCAATAAAACATTATAAAAATAGGCACAAGGCTGGATTTAGCCCATGGGCCATAGTTTGCTGACCCCTGCCTTATTGTACTAATGGGAAAAGATTGCCAATATATATTATCATGTGAAAAAATCAAGGGGTTGAACACCCCTTATGCTACCATTGTGTTAAAAAGGTAAGAGAAGGGTAGAGTCTGTGTATACTCATGTGCATTAAATTTCTCTGAAAGAACAAAATTGATAACATCGTGGCCTCTGAAGAGAAGAACTGGGAGACTAACAAAGAAAGATAGAAAGAAAACTTTTACTATACACCATTTGTATGTTTTGGATTTTGATCTATATAATATATCATCTATTCAAAGAATATTGAACCAAGCCTATTCTCTCAGACTCTTACGGCTTCCGGTTCCCTTTTATGTTAACGTATCACTTCAAATGAACAACCTGGTTGATTTGTAGCTACATAGTCATAGCTAAGCCATGTTTTATATACAACAAACTCCTCCCCATTGTACCCTTACGCTTCTCGCAGAAGCAGCATGTTTCACAGTGTCTTGCATGGGTAGTATAAACAGTCCTGTCCTTGGCTGCTAACTGAAAGGTGGCAAATTTGAGTCTACCCAGAGGCACCTTGGAAGAAGGGCCTAGTGATGTACTTCTGAAAAATGAGTCGCTGAAATCTCTGTGGAGCGCAGTTCTACTGTGACACACGTGGGTTCACCACAAGTGAGCATGGATTCAGTGCAACTGTTCTGTTTGTTTTTTTATGTTTGAAAAGTTAAAGCTAGAAGTAACAAAAATGGTTTCCCGGCTTCCAGTTCCCTCACTCTCCTAATACTGGACTATCAGAGACATTGAATACATGTGAGAATGATGTCCTGAGGGAGGAGGGGATGAAGAGGGAGGGAGGAAAAGAAAGAAATTGAATACATGAGAATATTTTCAGGAGTCTTCAAAAGATTGTTTGTTTGACAGGAAATCCAGTGATGACTCTTGGGTGAGCAATGGCACCTACTTGGAACTTAGAAAAGATCTTGGTTTTTCCAAACTGGACCATCCTGTCTTGTGGTGAAAAAGGAAAGAAGAAGAAAGATACATCAGTGTACTTCTCTCGTTTTTGCTTTCTGAGGCAGCACAAACCTGTGTCTGTATATTTAAAAGGTATTATCTAGAATGATCAATTGTGCTTATCGTTGTAAGTATTTAAGTATATATTTTCTTCAGTGGATTTCTTTACAATTTCAAATGTTACCATGATTGTTTATATGAATGTAGAGCACCTTGATATTTCTTTTTATATATGAACTAATTTAATAAAAATGAAAGATTGAATGTTAACATGTGGGTTAAAAAAGAAGCTTTAACACTAATTTTCCAAAGGTTAGGGAAAATTCAAACTAACATTATGCCTTACGGAATTATGTTGGAGGAAAAAAAAATATATAGCAATCTCTCCCAGGTGCATTAAGAAATCAGAAAAACACTCGGGGTTACTCACCCATGCATAAGCTACCCAAGTTTAATTTGGTAGCTCCAAGATCTTTTTGCCTCAGACAGCTCTTGAATTGCTCATACAGAACAATTCCGCTGGTGCTGGAATCTGAAGAATCCTTCTATTTGCATTTTGTGGTTAAGGGATGGTATAGGATTAATGGAACGCACGTTTTTATAGAAAGTTTTATAGTACCTTCTGAAAGAGGACACAGTTGTGCTCATAGATCTATTGCCTTATGTGCAAAATTGTACCCTGTTGCCCCGTTAATTAAATGCCATAACGGCATCCCAGAGAGGCAATGGGAAAATTCTCTTTAGTGAGAGCTGAATCCTTGACAAGCTAAGAAACTGTTTCCTGCTTCCCACCCTCCTCTGCTCCCTTCCCATTAAGCCACAGCTCTGTTGAGTGTGGAATGTCCCAGTTTAATGTAAAACCTACAGAGCATTCCACACCTCAGTTTGGCTTTCTAAAAAGTTAGTGAAATAACTAATTGTGTTAAAGAACTGTACATGTCTTTCTTACATACTGTTTTGGTATTTTCTACCTCTTACTAAGCACCATATTTTAGATCTTGTATACAAAGTTTAACCATCTGCCTTATAGACAAATGTAGAGTTGATGTTCTTCCTTTGTATTGTTTCTGTGCTGATAAAGCCCTCAATGTCTTCTTACTCTTTCCTACACGTATCCATGTCACTCTTTTGTGAGTTTTGCAGCAGTCTCAAATAATAGAGATTAAAACTACTGAAAGGGGAAATCTTGTCTTTCTAAATGTGTTCTTTCAAGTAACAATAATATAATTTGTGCAATAGTTGAACTGTATTATCAGTTCAGTTCCAGATTGCATTAAAACCAAAGCCTAGTTTTTAAGCCTTCTGCTCTAATGTCAATAACAATCCTATGGAATATAAAGTATAATGATATGGTTAGAAGATTTCCTCAGAAAAAAATTATTTTTAGATACATAAAGAATCTCAGAGCATGTGGGATGCTGTGAATGAAGAGTAAACTAAATAGCAGAAAAAGAATGCATGACTTTTAATGTCACCCCACATAACCAATTGGACAGTATCACATTTTCAGAATGGAGAGTTATTTAAAGTAGATCAGAAGCCTTTTAGAATTTGCAAGTGGGTGACTGGCATTTTTAAACAGTAAATGACTGATTAAATATTGGATTCACTTGTTCCATTTTATCTAGAGATCAGGATGAACACAATGTGCATACCATTTCCATTCTAAGCAGTCGAATGACACAGTCTCATTCTTTGTCATATTCTTTGTTCTTTTCTTTTAAAGCATCCATCCAAATTCTGCTCACAGACATGAGGAAGCTGGCTGGAGATTTAAGGGTACTCAAGGGGAAAATAAATCTAGTTTTCACAATGTGAGGGCAGATGTAGAATTTTAGTAAGATTGGCTGTTAAATAGGCCTGCTCCAGGGGCTGGCTCAAAAAAGAAAACAACAACAAAACCTACAGCCTGATTGGATATAACTTTGTCCTGTGGTACTTGGAAATTCTTTAATTGTGCCCCCATGCTATTATTTCAATTACTCTAATGCTTTATTTTCAATCAGATAACTAGACCAATTATCACCTCTGTAGTCTTTCTAGATAAGATGGCAGTGGCGTTTTGAATTAGTATAGGATCCAGAACTATATGCAGATCTAAAAGCATCTATAAAGGGCTTTTCTGACATTTAAACAGCTTGGTGATGTATCCTGCTATTATGTTCTCGAAACTACCTTGAGAGAGAAATGGCTTTTTTTCTACACACCCCCTTCTGTCCCTATTGTCAATAGCACTTTTCCACCTATTTTATATCACAAGGGAATTTTCTATTTTTATGGTGAAAAAAACAACAGAAACATGGCACTGGTTGGGAAGAACTAAGATAGAATTTAATTTTTGGGGCTCACAATTAAATAATGCCAATCGCTGCACCATTTGAGATACATGTTTTAAAACCTCCATTTTTTTCCTGATTATTTCTACCCAAATTAATAGTGAGCTACACAGATATACTGGGAAAGGGATTTTTTTGCAGCCAACAATGTGGTACTTCAGATGTTCCTGTTCTGCTCAGTACTTTCCAAACTGCAGGAAAGCCATAGAGAAACAAGTCACCAGGCTCCAGTGTAGCAACTGGGGCAGATCAGTTCCCTCCCAGGCTCCAAAGCTGCGAAGTTGGCTCTGGTTCATGGTAACCTCATGTGTCGGCATAGAACAGTGCTCCATTGGATTTTCATTGGCCAATTTTTCTTCAAAAGTGGATTACCAAGCCTTTCTTCCAAGGCACCTCTGGGTAGACTTGAACCTGTAACTTTTTCACTCGTAGCCAAGTCCATAACCATTGTACCAGCCAGGGACTCCAAAGCACCCTAAGACTGGTCATTTTCCTGAGTCAGATATGTTCTTAGGTCTCAGGGCTGCCTCGTCAGGCAGTTCATCCCTCGGAAGCCTGGCTGGTTCAAGTACTGACAAAACAGATGGAGTTCATTTTAGGACAGCAGCCCAGTTACCCATCAAGTATCCAGAATGCTTGACAGCCCCACTGTCTTCATATGCTTCCTGTGGGACTCTCTGGAGGAGAAAAAAGTAGATAAAAACTGATTATATTTTTAATGTTTATTTCATTTGGACTGCTGCTTTTCTCATATTCTTCTTTGAATTAGTTCCAACAAATCACTGGCTTGGGCTTCAAACATTATCCTTCATCTGTGTTTTCCAGATTTTTGGTGAGTAGTCTTATTCTACCATTAAATATGTCAAGCCTAAGAGAAAAATAGTTAAGTCTTAGTTTGGCTGTTGAGCCTTGAGGTAGGCCTCCTACATATGTTGTTGTTGTTGTTGTTGTTGTTGTTGTCAGGTGCCGTCAAGTCGGCTCCAACTCAGAGAGACCCTATGTACAACAGAAGGCAACACTGCCTGGTCATGCACCATCTTCACAAACCCTGCTCTACCATAAATTATGCCTTTCAGCTGTCATAGAATTTCCTCAGACTTTAGTCATTAGTAGGAGCAATACGAAGTCATTCTTATAATCTTAGAAAGGATGGTTCCAATGTATTGGCATCATTTATTTGAATGTCTTTAATTTTGATACTGACATCTCCATAAATCTATTTTTGCTACAAGATGATGGCTATTTTCATGTGCTTGATTTTCCTCAGCATTGTATTTCTCTGTTCCTTGTGTTAGTGTTTCTTTTTCTGCATTGGAAATAGGTATCACATGAGTATCTGCAAATGACGGCAGCCTAGAATGTGAACCATTTTCAGAGACTTTGGTTTGCGGAAATCAGAAGTTGCTACTTGATTTTACTCCTCTGGTACCCCTCAGAGGCTACTGTCTTTTTTAATGGATATTTGTAAATCTTCCATTTAACTGTTTGTAAAATTCTTTTCTGTTTCAATCCCACCTTTACACCCATACTCTTATGCCTCCCCCAAAAAATGTTACTGATTTGTTTCTCCCCTCATGTAGCTAGTTGGCTGTGAATAAATAACATGGAAAAAGGCCACCTTTGTCTTTATCTTTCAAGGTTAATGGGTATATGTGGCTCCTAAGAGGGGACAGAATGGGGAGACCCTTGCCTAAACCTCCAAAGAAGAACACACCAGGCCACCTAAAGTGATGAGGGTTGAAGATAAGATACTTTGAGCATTTCTGAAGCACTCCAGACAGGCCCCTCCTCCTCCCTCTAGCCCAGCGTGCTGTGGAAATACCATCATTCGTGTTCTAACATGAAGAAGGAAAACGCTACTCACACCATTTAATGGCCCTTTTTCTACCCTGTCATGTAGGGTTTCTGTGAGTTGGAACCTACTTAACAGCATACAACAAGAAGAATGACTTAATTGTCTCTCCTACCTAAGTAAGGAGCCCTGGTAGTGCAGTGGTCATAAACACTTGACTGCTAACTAAAAGGTCAGTGGTTAGAACCCTCCAGTAGCTCTGCTGGAGAAAGATGTAGCAGTCTGCTTCCATAAAAATGTACAGCCTTAGAAACTCTATATGGCAGTTCTACTCTGTCCTATAAGGTCTCTTTGAGTCAGAATTACCCAGATTCAATGGGTATACCTAAGAAGTGTCCTTGGAAATGCCAAAGATACTTTTACTCACTGCTGTCGAGTTGGATCCAACTCATAGTGACAGTATCACTACAGAAGTAGACTGCCTAATCTTCCTTCCAAGGAGTGGCTGGTGGGTTTGAACCACGAGACTTCTGGTTAGCAGTCAAGAGCTAGTCAAGAGCCTTAGGCACTCACTATGCCATCCCACACACAGCTGTCGAGTCGTATCCTACTCATGGCTACCCCTCCTTGGGTTTCCGAGGTGGTGTCACTACAAAAGTAGATTGCCCAACCTTCCTTCCAGGAGTGACGGTGGGTTTGAACCACCAGCCTTCTGGTTAGCAGTCAAATGCTTTAGGCACTATGCTACTGTGCCATCAGAGCTCCTCAAAAATATTTTAGTCTTCACTAATGTTCCATTCTGCTAACCAGAAGGCTGGCTATTCAAATCCACCAGCCACTCCTCGGAAGGAAGGTTGGGCAATCTACTTCCATAGTGATACTGCCTTAGCAACGCAAGGAGGGATCGCTCTGAGTCAGGTCTGACTCGACGGCACATAACAACAACAACAGTGTTCCAGTGGGAGCTCTGGTGGCCTAGTGCCTAAGGCATTTGACTGCTACCCAGAAGGCTGGTGGTTCAAACTCACCAGCCACTCCTCGGAAGGAAGATTGGGCAGTCTGCCTCCATGGAGATACTGCCTTGGAAACCCAAGGAGGAGTTGCTATAATTTGGGATCGACTTGATGGCAGTGAGT